AGCTGTGTGGTACTCTCTTTTTATTGTGTAATCATCAGTTATTTCAGCTGTGTGGTACTCTCTTTTTATTGTGTAATCATCAGTTATTTCAGCTGTGTGGTACTCTCTTTTTATTATGTAATCATCAGTTACTTCAGCTGTGTGGTACTCTCTTTTTATCGTGTAATCATCAGTTACTTCAGCTGTGTGGTACTCTCTTTTTATCGTGTAATCATCAGTTACTTCAGCTGTGTGGTACTCTCTTTTTATCGTGTAATCATCAGTTACTTCAGCTGTGTGGTACTCTCTTTTTATCGTGTAATCATCAGTTACTTCAGCTGTGTGGTACTCTCTTTTTATCGTTACAATAAAAATGGAGTACCACGCTGTTGAAGTAACTGATGATTACACAATAAAAATGGAGTACCACGCTGTTGAAGTAACTGATGATTACACAATAAAAATGGAGTACCACACTATTGAAGTAACTGATGATTACACAATAAAAATGGAGTACCACACTGTTGAAGTAACTGATGATTACACAATAAAAATGGAGTACCACACTATTGAAGTAACTGATGATTACACAATAAAAATGGAGTACCACACTGTTGAAGTAACTGATGATTACGTAATCATCAGTTACTTCAACAGCGTGGTACTCCATTTTTATTGTGTAATCATCAGTTACTTCAACAGCGTGGTACTCCATTTTTATTGTGTAATCCCTAGTTTTTTTTTATGAATTAAAAATGTCATATCAAATGATATGTTAAAAAGTGTAACTGCCAATAGTCATCAAAATAACTTGTAAGTATCCAGGATGCTTGCAATACCATGGACTTTACTTATCTTTATAGAAATCAACTACAATAAACAGTTGAAAGAAAGCTAGAAATCATGAAAAATAACTTCCACATTAACACAGTTTGTTTTTGAAACAATGCATTTCTTTTTACACACTTATTTGCCAAACAATGTGATTTGCAAAAAACAGCAAACATCAGAAAGACTTAAAACAGTTTTATGGCATACACAAACATATCTATTAAAGAATTTAAAGAAACAACTACACCACCAACCTGAAGACCCTTCACTAAAGTTTGCACTACCTTCCACTGGGGGGTAAGGTAATAAAACTGTTGAAACCTGCATTTTTTCATACTGAGTTTGCTTTCCATCCATGCTCTTGTCAAGATCCTCTTCAACTTTAACCTTGAAATGGCAATTGAACAAGCGACTTTTACTGGTACCAGATTCTGATGTCCAGCCTAAGTAATTCCATAGACGAGAAAAGTATTAAAGTAAAATAACCACAAAAAATCAAGTGTACAAAGTAAGAAGTTTTTTTGAGGAAAAAAAGTAGATGGTAAAAGAGGAAAATGATTTTCTATGAATATATCTTCACTATCATGGGTCTACATACTAGAAATATCAGTGACAGTAAACATCCACTGGATATCACATTAAGTTTACAAAGAACACACTTGGATCATTTATCAGACAATTTGTTACTTTCATTTTGGAATTTATGGACAACATTTCAAATCTAGTTGTTTATATAAAAAAAAAAAAACTAATTAAGGAAGTTATCTAATTCATTCACAATTCATCTAACTCTCAAAATTAGTTGGTATATCTTACACATTGTTTGCTCTATTCCTTGACATCAACACTTTAAATATCTGGTAATGAAGTGGAAGCCATTGTGCACTGCAGTCATACATTCACAAACACCTATTTCAGTTACAATATCTCCCAGTCATAAAGTCACGAACACCTGTTTTAAGTATATCTTCCAGTCGCAAACACCTATTTCAATATCTTCCAGTCATACAGTCACGAACACCTATTTCAAGTATATCTTCCAGTCACAAACACCTATTTAAATATCTTCCAGTCATACAGTCACAAACACCTGTTTCAAGCATATCTTCCAGTTGCAAACACCTATTTCAATATCTTCCAGTCATACAGACACGAACACGTTTCATTTATATCTTCCAGTCACAAACACCTATTTAAATATCTTCCAGTCCTACACCTATTTCAATATCTTCCAGTCACACAGTCACAAACACCTGTTTCAAGTATATCTTCCAGCCACAAACGCCTATTTAAATATCTTCCAGTCCTACACCTATTTCAATATCTTCCAGTCATACAGTCACAAACACCTGTTTCAAGTATATCTTCCAGTCACAAACACCTATTTCAATATCTTCCAGTCATAGTCATAAACACCTGTTTCAATAAATATCTTTCATCCTAGAGAAACTACAACACTATATCAGCAGCACAATGGTTAAATCAAGCATTTTAAAATAATAATAAAAATACTATCTATTTTTAGTAAAAACAAATCTACTATGTTTCTCAAAACTACCCACCTAGTGACAGGGACAACAAAATATTGCTGAAAAAAGCATGATCTCTGACATGGATGATGCTGTAGATGCTTTTCCCAACCAAATCATCCTACAAAATATACAGCATTGGTAAGTTCACCCAATATTCTCATATTTTAAACTACAGCTAAAGTTTACATACCATAGTAACAGGAAAATAATTTTTTTTATGTGTGTACTTTCACCATAAGTGCATAATTACATAATCTTTAACTTCTTGATGGAACTGATTTTGAGGAACATTTATGCATAAGATTATAAATAATGTACTAGGCTAAGAACTTAAATATGTTAATGTTGAGAAATGTAAACATAAAGCATGTGAACTTTTTATTTTCTTTAGTCGGTTGGTGTAAAGATATTACATATAAAAATTTTACAGTTTTAATACCTACATTATTTACCAGAACTCCCTGTTCAAAGTAACCTTCAGTGCACTCACAACTAATATTTATCATTTCATTTTTTTAAACATCTGGGCACAACATAGTTGTTTTAAAACCTACAATCACGGTAATATCGCTTTAGACAATATTGCACCTGTACGAGTTTCTTTTTTCTTACAGATATGGAGCATAATAAATTTTAAAACAAAAATGTCTAGCTTGTGAGAAGATTAGCTGTAGTATTTTTTAGTCATTGAACATACTTCAATTTTTTTAAAAACTTGCATTTTTACAAAAAAACACATTAACTAATCAAATAGCATTTTGATTTAGAAATTCTATAAATGTTTGACCACTTTTCCACCTCCTTTGACCACAGCATCTTAGACCTCATCTCCTAAGCCTTCGACAGTTGTTCTTTATTTGTAGAAAATATACAGAACACAAAACGACAAAAAATATATGTTAGTGAATAAAAATGTCACTCTTTTGTAAGTTCATCAGTAAACTATGGAAAAATAATTAACTAAATATCAGTTGTTAATTATACCTTTTAATTATGTAATTAAGACTAACCTTGCTGTATTTCAGAAACGAAAAAACATTTTCTGAAACAACTATCTTCCCATCAGCATTAATAACCAGTAAAAATCCATCCAAAGCCTGTAAAACAGAGTTACAGTTAACATAATTTATTCTACATTATAAACAAACAATCTGTGTATTTTAATTACAGCTGTATTTCTCAACCAACAATCCACACTTGCACCAGTCCACGAGATTTCATAAAAAACAAACACAAACTGAGAGAACATTTATTTGTAAATCATAATGGTTTTTCATTGTACTTGCATTTAAGCGGTCTGTAACAGTTCAGGGTAGCACCAAGCCATTCTCTGCTATTTAAAGTTTGAGAAATGCAGACTTACAGAATATTCAAAGTTTTCTACATTATATCATACAACTTTGTAACCACAGTATTCATTTGCATTTAGTGAATATTTAGAAATTTCTAGAAAAACAGTAAATTAAAATCTTATACTTTGAGCTTTATGCAACCTACTATAAACCACAATTTCATTAATAATTTTTATAGACCTTCATATCTATGATGATAATAACACCAAAAAAAAAACCTGTATCTAAAATGGTTATATCTTAACCTTGTAATTAACATTGGGTCATAATGGATCCTATTGGGTTTTTTTTTCAACACATTTTTTAAAACTTCTATGAGCTTTTGACCCCAGGATTTTGTTGTCATAATAATATATGAATCATACAAAAGTAGGTAAGAAAATTCCATCAATATTGCAATTAATCCCATCAATTCTTCTTGGGTCTTCCTAATATACTTCAAAAAGAAGAAATTTTCACCCAAGAACCCAAAATTCAGACATTTGTTAAGGGACGCTCCCCATCCAGAGTGAAAGGCATCCATGAAGAGGTGAAGGTCAAGTTTGGGAGGAGGTAAAGGAATGCCAGAGTTGGTGTTGAAGCAGTCTAGCCAACAAGCAAAATCCGCCAGTAGAGGAAGGAGGAGGATCAGTGAGGACAGTGGATCCATGGATAGGTTCCATTGGTCGTGCAATGCCCACTGTAAGGGGTGCATACGTGTGCAACCAAGTGAAATGAGGGGTTTCAGAGAAACCATGGTTCCCAAAAGAGATAATACCATTCACACAGAAGGTGAGGTGCAAACTTTGGTGACCAGGTGCTTGAGGTCCTTGTAAGCGAACTGGAGAAGGTTGAAAACGATTGAGATGAGAGTTGAAGAGAATCCCCCAGGCAGATGAAATATTGGGTAAGGGTATGGAAGGACTTGGAAATCTTGACAAACCTCCCAAAACAAGCAGCTCTGTGAAGGAAAAGGGAAGTGTGTTCAGAAGTTTCTAAGGAGGTAGAATGGGCCATTGTAGAGAAGAGAAGACACCTAGAGTCCCCACAAATATCATCAGAAAAATGGTGAAGCAATTCTGTCAAAAGGTGAAGGGAAGAGAAGTACCTAAGGAGGGTAAAGAGAAAGGTTTGAAATCAACAAATTGTGCACTGGGTAGGGAAACAGAAGAAAACCTTAAAAACTGGTAAGAGTAACTCCAAAGACTGGGTGTTAAAGAATGGGAAATTTGAGTGACCATATGCAAAAAAAAATGAAAATCAGTCTAATGAGGGGGAATGAGGCATAAGGTTGATCTTAAAATCAATGAGGATGTACAGCAATGTCAGAAGAGCGGTGAAAACAAACAATGAGGGGAAAAGTTGTGTAATAAAGAAAGGGAAGAGTCAAAGGATACGAGAAAGAGAGAAAGAACTGGACATACCTAAGTAATAAGGTTTCAAAAATCTGAGGAAGACTGAGAGTGTACTTCAGTCGGTAAGTGCAAAACCTAGAGGCAGAAAAAGGCATTCAAATTAATCCTCATCAACTTCAGGTTTGAGAGAGAAGGGGAAGGGAAGTGAATAAAAGGGAATGAAGCAGAAGGTATTGGTTGCATCATGGACCCCACCACGTGTTGAACAATGGTCACCATGTCTTCCATAGGTAAAGAACTTCCTGCCAAATTATTGGTATTTTGTTCAGGGTGAGAAATATCTTTACTCACATCAGCAGAAGAAGAGTTCAATTTATATTGAGTATCAAATTCGATGACGAGGAACCCACTTTGAGACTAATAATGGCTGGAGACGGCTTGAGTGGGTAATGAAGAAAAACTTTAATATAAGTTT